ATAAGCAGTAGCGTCAACACTACAATAATTAGCTTTACCTCCTGTTACAGCGTAATTATCATCTACCAATTTCCTCTAATTTTGTCATAGTCTATCTAGCCTAACTAAATGTTCTTTGTATTTTTGACTTGGTAATCCATATAGTTTTCAAGAAAATTCTTCACGACAGCAGCAACGGTTATATCAATAGTTATTGGGTTTTTCATCCTGGCACTCTTTTTATTTGAACGCAGTATTATTCGGAATTGTGCGACTTCAGATTAACATGTCGATCGACCACAGCTTAGCAAAATTAGATTTGTGTTATAGATATTAATATCATTATTAAGCAACTAGACGCACAAGAAAACACATGTTCAAAGGATAGATTTGTCAATACGACAGTTCTGAGAAGTACATTGTAAAAATATATCAATAAAATTATATATAGGATTATCCGTATATGATAAGTAACGAATATAATGGTTCTGCCGAGTATGAAAAAGCAATAAGTTTCTTAGCAATTGTGTTCACTCAAAAAAGATTCCGAAAGAAAGGTTTGCTGAATTACGTGAAGCGTTTCAAGCTCTCTCTAGATCCGAGCAAGATATATTTTTAATAGCCCAGCTGAAAGCAATGAACGGCGGAGAAATAACTGCCAGCCGACGTCTTAAAAAAACGCGTACTAATGAGAGAGCTTTTTATTATTGAGATCGTAATACGCCTCTTTGTCAGAAAACGTATATGTTAGGAATTACTTCGAAATCACGTGGAAACGAATGGTATAATAATAATCTTAATCCCATTAAACCTGTTACACGAAACGATACAATATGCGATATTTGATATTTCCAAGACAAGATACTTTTCAACATTTTTTTCATTACAAGAAACAAATGTGTCAACAGAAGGGCAGATGCCTGTAGAAATAGTTATAGCACAATTTGAATGAATTATTCAGAGACATTTGGAGCTCGACTATGGATATTAGCTCAATTTCCATAGAAATACATAAATTTCTGGTGATGATCACCATCGAAGTCATCTGACCTGATTTTTGGGCCTGACCGTTACCCCTGATTATGATGGACATCACCAGTGACTTAGCCAGTGGCTTAGTATTAGTATTAGTAGTGTGTGCCACATGGTAACGCCCTGTTCTCAACTCTTCGCTTTACTTTGCGCTATCCTTATTTAAGTTTAAAAGAAGTTAGTTATTGGTTCTGAATTTTGGCTTCGTTCCCATTGTTTACACGCTCCCCGTTCGCCACCGACAGACAGGTATTGAAATCGATTCTTTTCTTTTTCCTTGCATACGATTGCAATAACGACTTCCTCTCCTTTTCCGTTCAGTGATGGAAGACGACAAAGACTACTTCGAACGGAAAGCCTTGAAATGGGACATAATAGAGTATTTGAGAGAATGCAAGTTAGAGCCGTTTGGAAGGAAAATTGATTCGTATATTTCAATCTTGAAGACATAGTAATAGCCCGTAATGAACAAGGGTACAGGCAGGAGAGAGCCAAGGAACTATTAGCCCGGTACCAAAAGGCGAGTGTATTAATTTCTTTATGATGGCAGGTAAAATTTGTGGCGTGGCAAGAACCTGCTGGGTTCTATGTTACGAATCCGGTGTCAGGACTCGGAGGACCTGCTGGGTCGTTTGACGTTTAAGGCTGCTGGCCACATGACACCGGACTGCCTGGGCTGCGGGTGACCTGCTGGGTCATGCGACATTCAAGGCTGCTGGCCGACTGGGCAGATTCCACAATTGATAACTGGAGTTTTGAGGGTCTTATTTGGCACACATGGGTGCAATCGTGATAACTAGGTGCACTAATTGAACAATATTTGAATTTCCATACTAGGGAACGAAACCAGATTACAAAAGGGTGAAATCATGGCAGAAAAAAGACGAATCGCTTGTTCACATACATTCTCCAATGTTTATGAATGGGGGAAATGTGAATAGTCTAGTTGGAAGCTCCAGCGGAGTTGTTTTTATTGGCAGCCAAAAGGTAAGTACTCAAGTTTGTCTCCCTTATTTATGGGTTTCAATATTTCATACACTAATTGTGTTTCTTTATTCTACAGGTCAAACCTGTTTAAACCAGCAGACCTGGTTTGCTGATTCTTGGCCGGTTTAGCTAAGGACCAGTTCAAAAAATTGTTCAACTAGAGAAAGTTTCTAATTAATGAAAGTTTGGTGTAGTCTTGAGGCGGCCAGTTAAGCCTGAGACCAGTTTAAACAGGTTTGACCTGTAGACATCACAGGAAAAAATGCTAAACAATAACAACACTGCACTGTCCAATTCCAGCCATATAGTGAGTTATAACAACAATATTTCTCTTTGAGTGCATTTTATCAGTTCTGTGGGTGTGCATTTAGTCACTGACATATTCTCTACTAGGTCAAACTTAGTGTTCCGATAAAAGTATGTGCATGGTTGGAAGAGTATTCAGAACAGTAGAATTTGGTAAAACTAGCATATAAACTTTTTATCTTTTGTTTAGCAGAAGAGATCTTTTGACATGGCAGCATCTCTGTCATCAACCAGCCAGACAGCAGAGGGCACCACCATGGCCAACAGCCAGACCTTGAAAACATGCAAGAATGATGATCTTGCCAATTCAGATATGCTGCAGCATGTTCCAACTGTTTGTGTATGTTGTGTATTAATGTTGCAGGTTAACTTTTTTCAAATCTCATTGGTTGCATTTGCTTTTAGTGGAAGGTCAGAACTATTGATGTGACCACAAGATTCTGGCAATACCAGAGGAACGTGCTTGAGAAAGCAAAGAAGGGATCCCTGTCATACAAAGACACATATGAACTTTTGTAAGTATATCAACATCTGATTAGTTATAGTATGTGCAATGTCTGATAATTTTCTGCTTATTGTGTCTAGGGCCTTATCTTCCATCATTGTACTTTGTTGGCCGTGTCCGTATCTAATGTTGTTCACACATGAAGAATGACAACAGATTTTGGAAATGAATTCCTATGTCATAACTGAGCAGCCTCTCCCTCCAGAGATTTCATACTCTCTATATAATACTTGTCATGAGTTTGTGCTAGGAAAAGATGTCTTCATGGAGGGTGGGAAGTCAAAACTAAGCAGGACAATTGCTCATTCTTTCAACGAACTGTATGCAGGACATTAATCCTTTAATCTGTTGGCCTATGGTAACCAAAATATTAAATATCTCACTTTGTTTTTACCAATATATAGATGTAATAGTGTTCCAGCAGTTTCATCATTGAAGATGACTGAAGATCAGCACTGTTACCAACTCCTCCATCTACTTACATGTCCATTGTTTCTTGGCCCACAAAAGGACTATGAGCTTCAGCTAAACTGTGCTGTGAAGGGTTCTAAACAGAGACCTGATTTTGCTTGTGTGGTGGATGATACACGTACACCAATATTGATCTCAGAAATCAAACCACAAAAGTGTACACCACTTCTGCAGAGCAAGGATAGATTGAGGGTCCATTTTTGGGGCCAGAAAGCAATCAATCAGCAGCTGCAAACAAAGGGTGGTCCTGGTGAAGCTGCCTTGCTCATGAATATGGGTATGCATATGCATGTATGACAAATGCATCCTTGTTGTCTAACAGCATGCACTAAATTTAGTTCTGTGATGAAAAGGAGACCTAGTTGAATCATTTTTTATGGATTTAAAGTATGACGGAATTTATTGTTCCTGGCCATTTCTTATGACAAAGTTGGTGGTTGATAAATGTACAATCCCTTTGGCAGAATTGACCATCAGTCATTTTGTGGCATTAGAGGTATCCTGATATTTGTGCTTATTCTGTATAATGATATGCTGCTCTGACTTTTTGGCCTAATTATAATTGCAGAAACGTGTTGGAAAGATTGCAGAAGACTACAAGTGTCGAACTGATAATTTCACACCACCCCAGCAGATTATTTTCATATGTGATCTTCCAGATTCTCTGCAAATGAAGATATTGCTTCAACAGTAGGGTGCTCAAGGTAAAGATTGGTGTATGCAAATTATTAATAGAATTCATAGCATATACAGTACTGTGCAAAAGTAATGAGAATTTTTTTGTGCACAATAAAATTTTATTTGTGATGCCAATGTTACTCCAATTAAAAAACGGTTTTACAGAATAAATTACACATCAATTGTAAATAAAGTTATGCTATTTAACCTTAGGGTAAGTATTATATTTAGCACTATACTAATACATCTACCTCAAAATAATAGAGTCATCTCTTGCACAGCAAAGAAGCACTATAATAATAAGACAATTGTGGGCTAATAATGTATGAAAGCCAAAAGTTTTTTCTGAAACAACAGGTGTCCTGTTGTCTACTGTGTACAGATATGTCACTCAGTTAAAAAAAGATGGCAAGTTAGAACCACTTCCCCGTTCAGGGAGACCTAGAGTACTTAGTCCAAAAAAGTGACATCAACTAGGTTGCATGGTTCAGGTGAATACTTCTACAAACAGCAAAGAGCTTGCCACAAGACTCAACAAATCTAACCCTGGCTTGAATGTTTCACAAAGTACGATATCCAGAGAACTTTCTTGGCTGCATTGGAAGATTGATATTCCAAAAACTATTCCTTTTTTAACTGATAATCATAAAAAAAGATGAATAGAATGGGCTTTAAGCCATGCCAAATTGAATTGGAAAAAGGTATTATTTTCTGATGAAACCACATTCCAGTTGTGAGCTTTAAAATTTCCAGGATTAACTGCTTCAAAAAGAAAATTTTGCAAACCATTTAATTTTTTAAAGAATCCCCAACACAGAGTTAAGATCTAAGAGCTTTGTTTAATCCAGCTGTACTTGATTTTTCCACAACCTCAACGATATGATCCATGCAATCTATTGTTGTTTTGCAGTATAGTTTTTTAATCAATCAAAATAAAAACTACCATCACACTTAAATTTAGTATGTCCAGGTACCATAAAATTTAATTCAATAATTTCATAATAATAACTGTAAACAGATAAAATTAAATGGTAGCATTATTTTTATTCTGTCCTCCTGCATTATCATAACTAATCTTTAAATGCTCCTCACCTTTATTCAATTCCATCGAATACCATGCTCAGTGTACCATTATACAGTAAGATGCAAAAATATCCCCCTACTTCTAATTCGGGACATGAATGAGTAAATGCTTTGAAAGTTTCCCTGTATATAGTGTATAATAAACCCTGATCACTTGTAAATTTCTAAACACCAAAGTTTTTACCATGACATATTTCGGGGGTTCAGTCATAAGAGTTCAAAAATTCATATCTCAACACTTCTCTAACCAAATTTTGTGATTCTTTTTTTTATTTTGTTTCTCTGCACCATCAAAAAATTGCATTCATGTAATTTTAGAACAAATTACTGTGTGATCGCTACTACAAAATACAAACAATTGTGCGGTATAATGATACTTATAAAAATCGTTCACGTGTCTTGCCAAGTATAATAGCAATTTCGACCACCACATCTAAAGAAATACGTAGGAATTGGTTTGATAAACAAAACAAAAAAAAGATCCCGCAAATCAATTAGAAACATGTGGAGATATGGATTTTGAAATAAATTGAAATAAGCGATGCAAATATTGGATGTTTGTAAATTTTTACTGGAGACATCCGATCAAGCTGAAATTTTACAAGTGATCAGGGTTTATT